GAAACTAGTTTGATTTTCTTTATGATCTATGAATTGCTCTCTTTGTGCTAAAAATAATCAAGTTTAGGATAATCAACTACATAATTAATTAGTAGAAAAAAATTTACAATCTATGATACTTTTGAGTAATTTGATAGGTTATGCTTATGAATTCTACAACTATTATCTAATTGTTGTTTTTTCATGAACGAAATTTTACTTTAATAATAATTTGATAGATTGTGCTTTCTTTTAGTAGTTTAATAATCTATATTTAGTAAATCTAAAGTAAAATATGATTAAAAAATAGAGTAGTTCATTAATAGTAAATGAAATTAAATTAATGAACTCAATTATAGGTTCCTAATTTCTCTGCCCGATTTCCTACATCTTTGACTTACTTTGATTTTGCTCTTTTTTATGATTTTCTTCTATTTTTTATTTGATTCTTTTCTATTTTCCTATTCTTCCTCCTTTTTTAATCTTCATTTTCTTTTATTTGTTCACTCTCTTTCTTCCCTCTTATTCTAATTTCTCACACACTTTTTATATCTTCACACTTTCACTTCTCTTTGTCCACATAAGATTAAGTTTAGAATACTTCCTACACATCTTCCTCGTGGGATGCAAGTTTATATTATTTTCACCCTTTAAGTAGTAAAGACCGACGTCAGAAATCTCACGTAGCGGTGCCTCATTAGCAGGAAGAAGGAACTACTCCACTACCATGTCCTGGACTCTAGGACTGACCACTTGCATCCATGCGACACTCGGGATGAAAGGATGCTCTTCCAACTCTCTCTCATAGAGAGGACGGGATCTAGGGCCCCTCAAGATGGCTCACACCTCCTCCTAAGTACAAGGGTGGAGATCGCTGACACAATGGGAAAGGGCCAATCATAGCGACCCTCATGCCCGGCAATCGAGAGACGCAAGGATCCTAGAGTAAATTGCACATGCTCCTTAACAACAAGATCATCAATGACCTACTCTTTTTTAGGTCCCCCAAATGACTTGTGCCCCCTCTTCCAGTCCAGACAACACCCCTTCACTCTAACATTAGCTGGGTCCTCATTTCCTACCTACTCCCTGACAAGAATAACTTCCTCTCCGACTTCATCATCAAGAATCGGATGCGGAGAATTTCCTTCCACTTCAATAAACTCAGACGGATCTTGGAAAGATTCTAAAGTTGCAACCCCACCAGTCGACCCAGGTGAAACCTCAATCTACAGGGGTCAAGCCTCAACTACCTCCAAGAGAGAATAGCTCCCGCGTGCTACTCTCAGCCTAGCAATGCCCCTTGGAGGCTACCTTCTTCCTTCTCTTCTTGGACCCCTCAGTCTGAACTAGAGATTCGCTCAAACTAGATTTGGTAGTAATGTCAGCGGCAGGCTACTATAGCAAGACCTAGATATCCTCTACTTCTAGATTGTTGCAGAGTCACTTTTGAGGCACAAGAGGAGTACTAAAATGGGAGCCAACTGATCAGTTGCTCATCAAGAGATAGAAGCGTAGTTTGGGCCAAATCCGTCCTAGTAGTAGATACGATAGATATGTTGGCCGCATGGAGGACGGCGTTGTCAAACAAGTTCTCCTAGCACCAGTGACCCCTTGTAGGTCCAGATCCTGTCCAAGTCTCGCAACTCTGTGTTCAAATGATTCTTCGTCCATAGGTCCTCCTCCTTAATCTTGGACCTGAAGGACAAGTCAGGATTGGATCAACACCCATGATGAAGAAGAATCTTTCCCACAATCCTTTATTTGTCTTGGGCATGTTGGATACTAGACGGCAGTCATCAACTATTTGCAAATGAAAGTGGCCCTACCTCTTAATTACCAGCCTTGATGCACACTAAGTGGCTCCACATGCCCAATATCAGTCTAACATCTACATAATGGTAGATGACAAGAAAGGCCCTAGAAAAGTGATTGAGTTTGGTGTCAAATTCACTGGTGCAACCACCAAAGCCCTAAAGACCTTCTAAAGGAATGGGTGCAACGGCAGCGGAAGGCCATAGTTAACATGATGCCAGTAAAATGGCACCAAACCCCCGTTATATATGATGATAAATTTGATAATGTATAAGCACTGGGGATGTTAAAATTTTAGGTGTACTACTCCAAGCAACTCGTAAGCACATTCAAGTCATACTAACACAATAAAGCGACTTTGGCCTCATTGAATATAATTGTTGGTTGGGCATTGGAAGCCATCAAAGCAGGAGAAGAGATGGTCTGATTATGGTGAGATTTTTTATAACAAGATGCGCTCGTGACAGAGTAAGAGTCTTAGGTTTAAAGTGATAGAGGTTAAATAATGTCAAGTTACAAGGTCACAACTATCAAGTTATAGTATAGAAATATATTGAACCCACGAGAAAGGTATGTAGGAAAAACTCTAAATTGGATCTTAGAGTTGTGTGTGGAAAAATAGGAGTGAAAGAGAAGAGATATAAAGAGTGTGTAATTATTTACTCATAAAAAAATTAGAATAAGAGGGAAGAAAGAGAGTGGATAAGTACAAGAAAATAAATAATAACAAAGAGGAGAAATAAAGAAAATTAAAAAAAATAAAATTTAGATTTAAAAAATTAACCATAAAGGGGAAAATTGAAACAAATAAAATATGGAGGAAATCAAAAGAGAAGATAAAAATCTAGAATTTAATCCACTAGTTAATTTTATTTAGTATTTATGAACTACTCTCTTTTTATCACATTTTACTTTAGAATTATTAAGTATAGACTATCAAACTACTTAAGAGAATTATAGTCCATCAAATTATTATCTAAGTAAAATCACGTTTTATAAAAAGAACAACAATTAGATAGTAATTCTAGATTTCATAAGCTTAACCTATCAAACCACTTAAGATTAAAATAGATAATCAAATTCTTCTTTTATCAATTAGTTCTCTAGTTGATTATTCTAAACATGATTAATTTGAGCACAAGAGAGCAATCCAAAAATTATAATAAATTTTTTTAACTAGTTTCCTACAATTCTAGAATTCTACAAGGTTTATTTGCACATTTTAAATAATATAAATAAGAAAATACAATATAGGCTAAAAAGCAGAAGAGGAAGGAAATAAAAATAAAAACTAACTACAAAGATAACAACAAAAATGAGGTAATAAAGATCTTAACTATGAGCATATATGAAATCTAACTTACAAAATTAAAAGAGTATAAAAGTAAATCTATACTACCAAAAAATACAAAAAAGCAATTTCTACGTAGCATAAAAATAAACGATAAAAATAAAAGAGCATGAAAGTAAATCTAAGCTATAATACATAAAATAAATCTACTCTACCAACAAAAATAAAGACAAAATAAAAATTTAAAGCATAAATTTTTAAAGCATGAAAATAAAATAGAAAAATAAAAAAATACATTGTAAGGGGATGGCTCTTGAAAGCATATCTCTATCTTCATCTCTATCAATAAAGAAAAAGAAAGAAATTTTAAAAGGTTGAGAAAATTTTTTATTAACTGGAATTTTTTTTTTGAAAGGTCTTCTCAATTAAGAGAAACTCTTCTTCCAAATAGAGTTTTTTTATAAATTTTTTTACACTCTCAAACCTTCACTTTATCCCTCTATTTATAGATAGTAAGAATCTTTCACAATCTTTAGATTTGTCTTACCCCCAAATAACCCTCACAACAATAGGATTTCACTTAGTCCCCAAGTAATCCTCATAACTAAAGAATCTCTCAAAATAATCTACGTCATTGATTCAATACTTGAGAGATGGGCTTTGTGGGCTTTATTTCTCTAGTATTTAATTCATTTAAGACTATTGAGCTTCTCTTAAATGCTCTTTGAATTTCTTGGGACTTAGCACTTCGCCGGTCAGTCACCATCAACAAGTAATGCAGCATCAGAGTCATAATGACCTTTTGAGCAAGACCCTTCAAAGCTTCTCGGACAAGCCATTACTCCAACGTTCCCGATATTGTATAGAGGTGACTAGATCAATCAATTACGGGCACGTGTATTGTAGGGTTTGAACCAAAACTTCACACACTCGATTAAAATTAGCAATGTGTCCCTATAAACCCTCTATAAACAATGGTAAACTCCACCAAACTAAGTTATGCAATATTACATACAAAAAATCAACAAGGCTATACTCTATTTTTCGTTCCAGATTAACTAGAAATAGTTATTGGCTTGAGTGTCGGATAGAGGAAGAAACAACCTTTGGTGCCTCTAGCCTCTATTATTTGTGTCGCAAAGTATATATCAAGACCCTCAACTAATGATTAACCATCAAAGGCAATTACGAGACCCAAAAATAAAGCAAAGTATATATCAAGACCCTCAACTAATGATTAACCATCAAAGGCAATTACGAGACCCAAAAATAAAGTTTAACTCCCCCAAATCACACCTCAATTTTTTTACATCAACAACTAGCTATACTTGTAGACTTGTATCCAAATCACACCTCAATTTTTTGACATCAACAACTAGCTATACTTGTAGACTTGCTTGTAGACTTGTATCCAAATCACACCTCAATTTTTTGACATCAACAACTAGCTATACTTGTAGACTTGTATACTACTTGTCTAAAAATCAATCCTTTTTGTCAAAGATTGCATTTTCTTCTGCAAATTTGCAACTACAAGAAGAGGCGCATAAATAAGCATATGAGCATTTGTTATGGTTAATGATTATGCATACGTGATAATGTGACATAGATATGCTACGAGTAAATGATTGATTTATATCTAACTTTTATAGCTTTTAATTTAGTTTCAGTTGCAAATAATCTCCGGACGTAAATAGTAATACAAAAAGGGTAATTGACAACAATATTCATTGAAATTGGATAAAATCTCTCTCCCATGGAAAGTAATAAAAGCTAATTGATGCAACGGAAATATTCTAGAAGAAGGCAATTTATGAATCTTAATAATAAAATATTTGTTACCAAGTAAGAATCAAGTATGCTATAAAAGGAGGGTACGTACGTAGGGAAGGAAGCTGTGCTTCAATCTTCATCCATGGCTTTGGCTTTGAGAAAATCAATCTCCCTATTTTTTCTTATAATATTCTCGCTCGATGTTCGTGCGAGAGGAGTTGAGAGTAGATGGAGCATGAAGGGGGAGGAAGACTTGGAGCTTGAAAAACAGCTGAAGGTGCTTAACAAGCCCCCTGTAAAATCATTTCAGGTACTTCTTTTTTAACTTTAAATTAATGTCACAGATCATTCTTCAATTTTTCCTCTAAATCTAATCCTACATTCGTAGTAACAGTTATAAGATTTCTTATGCTCAAACAAAATATCAGCAATAATTATATATGTTCGCAGTGAAATCTTTGAGCAGTAGCTTTTTAAATACCAATGCCAATCAAATACCATTTAACATCTTTATAAATTTTGTCTGTGGGGCTTCATTTATTTTATGCACTGATGATGGAGGTTTATTATTTTGCAGTCTAAAAGTGGACATATTTATGATTGTATTGATATCTACAAACAGCCAGCCTTTGACAATCCTCTTCTGAAAGATCACAAACTTCAGGTACAAATTGAATTCCTACATTCTGAACTTGGTTATAATTTTTAGGTTGCAGTATTCAGACCCTACTCAAACCTTCACTTTAGCTCATTTTTGTGACTGACATATATTATATGATACCATTCTAGAATATCTCGATACATGCATTGGCCTGTTTGGTTGTGAGGAAAAACAAAAAATTTGCATTATGGGAAACCATTTCCTGTAATGCTTTACTTTTATATATGTGTGTTTAGTTCGCACTTGGAAACCAAGAGAGAGGGTGAGGTGACACTCTTCTATCTGTTGATTTGATCCCAATTCTAAGAAACTCATTTCGGTGCTTTTTTAAAGAAATGGTTGGAAACCATTTGCGGAAAGTAAATTTACAAGTTACAACCTCCCATTATTACAAAAACTATTAGCTATGTAACCTTATAGCCTCTTAGTATGAAGTAAGTACCGAAATAGGCTCAATATACGTTTACTAGAAAGATTAGACAGACATAGGAGGAAAAATTAACTGGTAAAAAAATATCTAGTTTGCTCTGAAATGAATTTAATAATAATTAATTTATAGAAGGAGGTAGTATACATGTGTCATTTTGACCAGAGAGAGATGACAAATTAAGAGATCCTCATTTAATCGGGTTTGCCTAAAAAATTAAATGTTTTAGTAGTATAATCGACATTTTTCTTTATCTCTATTTACTGATTAATTGAACAATGAGTTACTTAATGCAGATGTGGCCTAGCAGTTTCCCAAAAGGCATGCCTATAAACTCAAATTTGCGCCAAAATAGCACTTGTCCATCAGGAACGGCTCTTATTCGCAGAACTACAAAGAATGACTTAATATATGGCAAAACTCTTCAAAATCATGTGAAAAGTCACGGTGCAAATTTCAAAAGTAGTATTAATGACGGAAGCCATGTGAGTAACCCTCTTTCACTTTGCAATTTTAGCTATAGTTTACCAACTTTCTTGTTAATCAAAATCATATGAAAATGAATTATATTAACCTTTTCTGTTCATTCAAGCACTCTTCTAAGATATCGAAAGGCTGAGAACGGAAGTACGAATAGTGTCGTAATTGTATTTTGCTCGGTATTACGACAATATCTCTGCACTGACAATATTTTAATATTATGATTTTCGCAATGAATTTTTTTAGCTTTCTCCGTAAAGTCGACTATAAATTAGATATAATACTATTATAGAACCAACAAAGAAGATAAAGTAATTACATATATACATATATACACACACACAATTGATAGTCAAAAAAGAAAATGGAAAAAAAGGGAAAGAATTGAACTACGATCTCTAAGATGTAACAATATAGAGGATTTTTTTCCTTGAGTAATTTTTGTAGATGGAGCATTCTAGATGGATTTCTCAACATGCGCAACTTGAAGACATACGATCTCTGTAGACATATGCTCGTTTTAAGTATATAAGAGGTTCGTAATTATCTACCTAGGCTAAATACAAAGAGCAACAACGCTTTATCCCTTTTAAGTATATAAGAGGTTCGTAATTATCTACCTAGGCTAAATACAAAGAGCAACAACGCTTTATCCCGAATGAATCCACCCCTACCTAGAGTACAATTGACATCTCTCAACATAAGCCCCTGATGAACTTAGAATCTACACACCCAGCTTCAAAAAATTTGCCTCCAACTCTCAAAACTGAGGTATCACATGTGAACACCAAGACATCAAAATACATATTAAGCAATCTAGCCCAGGCAAAACTCTTATATATACTCTGCGACGAGCTTGTATAAGTAATTTGCCGGACATTAATAGCCATAAATTATGACTCTTACGGTTTATGGTATATATTTCTATCAGTTCTGGTTCGTATTGCACATGTTAACTATTATCAATTTCTTTAAAATGAATTAATTAGTTGTTAAACAGTATGCAGTAATGAAAACTGACTTTGGCGAATATTATGGAGCAAGTGCAAAGCTTATTGTTTATGGCTTCCCAAATGTTAAACTTGATCAAATCACCATAAGCCAAATATGGGTCATAGGAGGCGCTCATGGACCTGAAGATAAAATAAACACCGTACAAGCAGGATGGCATGTCCGTAAGATTACTGTTAAGATTTGTTTAAAAAGTTTTCTATTTTTTCGAAAACAAATTAGTACTTTGGATTTCCACTAAATATTTTGTGCTAAATACATTTATAACATTTCAGGTATACCCTGGTATAAATGGTGACTCTTTAACCCATCTATCTACGTTTTGGACGGTATAATCTAATAACTACGTCTTAAATTTAGATGAGATTTTGTTCCTTATCACATAAAATATGTACTCGATCGAGATTTACAGAAGTTGATTAATAATGTGTGCAGGCTGATGGATATAAAACAGGTTGCTTCAACTTCAACTGTCCGGGATTTGTTGCACTGTCTCCAGACTTTGGTCCTGGAAGTGAAATAACAGAGCTTTCTGTCTACGGTGGGATACAAAAATCAATTGAAATAAGTATCTTCAAGGTATTAACTTTGTTTTGGGAAATTTATGTCAGCCGTCTAGCTTTCTCTATATCTTATGTGCACGTTTAGCGTTAGGGAAGGGATATTTCTATAAATTTAAGACTGACATAGAGTTTGCATTCCTATACTTAGGTTTTTATATATAGAATACTTTACTAGGACATATATCCCATGATTTTGAGAATGTGCTATTTTTGTTTGCTTTTCAACTTCGTGGTAATAATGTGAAAGTTAAATTAAAATAAATGTCAAGAACATTATCACAGTGTTCGAATTCTAATTTGATAATGGATGAAACACAACAGCATCACCGGAATTATTTATGTGTTAAAAAAAAGAATATTAACAGTTGTTATCAGCTATACCGGTCTATAATGCATGAGGTTTTTCTATAAGTAACCATTATTTTCTTTTTAACTGTAGGATCAAGAAACTGGAAATTGGTGGTTAACATATGGACATGAAAGATCTTTTGTGGGATATTGGCCAAAGGAGCTTTTCAATAATTTAGAGAAAGCTACTGAGGTTGACTATGGTGGTACGGTTTACTCTCCCTTCAACGAGCCTAGTCCTCCGATGGGGAGTGGTCATCCAATTGAAGAAGGTCGAAACAAGACATGTTATTTTCTGAATGTTCAGTTAGTAAACGAAAGAAATGAGCTCTATGATCCAAAAGATTATCATGTCGCCACAATTGCTGATATTACAGAATATTATAACATTGATTACAATTATGCATCCGAAACCGCAGACGGTTACCAATTCCGTTATGGTGGTCCTGGAGGTTACACTCGTTGAACAATTGCCTTGTTGTCATATGAATAAAATGTTATCTCATGGTAGCATTAGATTTGTTTTATTGATGATGGATTTATGATCAAGCCTGTAGACAAAACTTCTCTTTGGAGAATTTTGAAACTTCAATGCTAAGAAGATCCGTACCTTCATTTGGCATAAAACAAGCTTTTTCGCAGCACCTGTTGTGCTTCATACTTTTTTTGGGGTGTATTCTAACTACAAGGAGCAAGATGATGATTAATGTTTAAATTTTTTTTGATATTTTTACTAGATTTTTTTAATATTCTACTATATTAGGGCACGTGTGTCGCATGTATATATACTTGTTTTACATTTTTATCTTTTCCATGGCATGAAAATGATAAAGAGACTGTAAATGTATGTTTTGGAATACAGTGTATTTATATTCCTTTTCTATATTTGATCAAATAATCAGGAATATGTTGTAGGCAGTGTTTTAAATATCGGCCGATAATCCGATATTATCGCTGATATATCGGATTTTTGGGCTGGCCGCTAGGATAACTTGAAATTGTAATCGGTTATTGTTTTTGGCACATTATCGGCGATAAATCGTCGATAAAAGGGAATTATCATCCGATAACAGAGTTATTTTTATCGGATTTATCGGCCAAGAGTTGTGTTGTTGAGTTTGAGATATGAAAGCCGACCCGACCCGTTTTCACAATAAAATGAAAAGTTAAGCCCTAACCTTTGTGAATCCAAGTCTGAAAACCCTAGACTTCCTCTCTGGCGGTTGTTCTTCTCCTCTCGCCTTCGTCAATCTCCAGCCAACCACGACTTCGTGAATCTCCAGCGAGCAGCGAGTCAGCGACATCGTGAATCTCCAGCGAGCAGCGACTTCGTGAATCCTCAACTTCCTCTCTTGCGTCGACTTCGTGAATCTCCAACAAACCCTAAACTGCCTCTCTCGTCTTCGTGAATTCCTGAGAACCTCGCCTCTCCACGCTCGCCTCGCCTTCGAAGTTCGAACAGGTACCATTCATCTCTTCTCACCTTCGAAGTTCATTTTTGTTCACTTCTGGCCTTCGTCTCTATCTCTGCTGCTGTTTCCTAAGTTTAATCTTGTCGTTCTGGCCTTCGTCTCTCTGTTTGCTGCTATTTGCTAAGTTTATTTTTGTTGTTCTCTTCTAGCCTTCGTCTCTGGCTATGCTGTGGTTTTTTATTTTTTAAGTTGATTTTTTGAATGGATATTTTCTGCTTGTGACTTATGAGACACTGAGACTTCTTGTGAAGAAATTCCGTGAATTATCTACTCAAACAGGTATTTTTTTTCCTTTTTAATCTTATAGAATTTCTGTTGTGAGACTTCTCAGACTTGTTGTGAGACTGTATTACTGGGATTAATTGTTGTGAGACTGTAAATCTGTAATTAATTGTTGTGAGACTGTAAATCTGTAATTAATTGTTGTGAGACTTGTTCTGTTGTGAGACTTATTGTTTATAGAAAATACCTTGTAATTAATTTTAAGAAAATACTTGTGAGACTATATAAGCAAATTTAATTGTAATTTCAATTAATTTTAAGCAATTGGTTTTTACTTGAGCAACTAATTTTGAGTATTGTTGTGAGACTTAATATGTTGTGAGACTTGTTTGTTGTTTACAGAAAACTTGTAATTAATTTTAAGAAAATACTTGTGAGACTGTATAAGAAAATTTAGTTATAATTACAATTAATTTACAACTAAAATAAATATACAACTTGGATTTACAATTGCTATTTTAAGTTGTCTTCCTTAGTTTCTTACTTCATTCCTTGAAATCTTGATGTCATTTTGATCTCAAGTCTGCAACAAAATAGAACAAGTCAGTGTTAGGCATAAAATTTTATGACGTGATGAAATAAATAAAATAAATATACAATTGTGTAATTGTGTTGCTATTTTATTTTCAAACTTGTGTTCACGGTTCACTATCTCATGTTGAAAGGAGAATGTCTTCTGAAGGCCAAGCGTCTAATAAACCACCAAAGCCCAGTAAAGATTCTTGTTGGGCATATACTGAGCGGGTTGGTAATGATGCTTTAAAGGTTCGTTACAAGTTTTGTGGGCAGTCTATGTGTGGAGGCATAAGTCGGTTCAAACAACACTTGGCTGAACTGTTTGCCATGTGAGAAGGTCCCCGAAGATGTGAAGAAAAAAGTAAATGAAATCATTGATAATGCCAAGAAGAATAAGGGTGCAAAGGAGTTGAAAATGCGAGATTTACTCGATGATGTTCATATATGGGAGGAAGAGAGATATGAAGGGAGTGTGACCGCATCTACTGAGAGTCAGAGAAGCTCATCATCATCCTCCTTCAAGACGAAAGGGCTAATGGACGCTTTTGCAGGCTGCACTCATAAGGAGTCAGCCGAAGTAGTATTAAAAATAAAACAAGCAGTGATGGACATCAAGTATAGGAAGAAGGCAAGAGATGATGTGAACAGGTACATTGGGGGATGGTTCTATGAAGCCGGCATCCCTTTTAATACTTTAAGTATTCCTTCTTTCATACAAATGGTGCAGGCTATTGGAAAGTTTGAAGCCTTCTTGGATGCTCCGACACCATATGAATTGAGGGAGACTATTCTGCAAAGAGAGGTGGATAAGACAAGGGAGATCATTAAAAAATTTAAGAAGAGTTGCGCACTTAACGGATGCTCCATACTGACTGATGCTTGGAGTGATAGGAAAATGAGAAGTATTATGAATATTGTTGTCCATTCAGATGGAGGAACAACATTTTTGGGTTCATGTGATACATCGGGAGACAAGCATGATGCGAATTATATATGTAACTATGTGGAGAAAACAATTGAAGAGTTGGGGGTGCAAAATGTCGTGCAAATTATCACAGATGGAGCTTCAAATAACATGGCAGCCGCAAAAAGCTTAGCAATTAAGAAGCCAAATATATTTTGGACAACTTGTGTGGCACACACTATTAATTTGATGTTAGCCGATATAGCCAAAATAAGACCTAGTGCAATTGCAATGGGAAGAACTGTGTCAGTGTACATCTATAGCCACACGAAATCTCTTCATGTGATGAGAGAATTTGCATGGGGGGACCTTATTAGACCCGGGGTGACACGATTCGCTAAGGCATTCCTTGCTTTGGAGTCATTAAAAGATAAAAAGAAAGTGCTGAAGTAAATGTTTGTCTCTAATGAATAGATGGAATGCGAGCTTTCAAAAAAAAAGCGGGGAAAAATGTACAATACAATTTAAAAGTTAAAGTTTGTAACTAATAACTAAAAATATTTATTTGCTTTAGAATATATAATTCTATTGTATTACTGATTATTATGTTGTTTTTTGACTTTGTAGGTTGCCGAGATTATTCATAGCAACAAGTTTTGGGACAACGTTGATCTTGCATTTACAGTTTTTTCTCCTTTGGTGAAGGTTCTAAGGAGAATAGATGGTGATAAAATCACCTCGATGGGGTTTGTGTATGGAAAGATGATGACGGCTAAGGAGGAGATCAAAGAGGCATTTCAAGATGAAGAGAAGAAATATCTTCTTATAGAGAAGATTATTGATAAGAGATTTGATGCCAAGCTTAAAGAACCATTCCATAAAGCGGGATATTATTTAAATCCTTATTTCTACTATCCAAATCTTATAGAAATTGAAAGGGATGGAAGTTTCTTGAGTTGCCTTGTTGATTGTATGAACAAATTCTATTCAGATGATGGTGACATGCTTGGCAAGATTGGAGACCAACTCTCTGATTATCAGCATCAAAGAGGATCATTCGGGAGAGAACTTGCAAAGAGAGAAGCAAAAAAGCCTAATAATAATCCGGGTATATTTTCATTTTTTATTCAAATTAATTTGGTGATTTGACTAATTCTTGTTTGAATGTTACAAGTTACTAATTGTTTGCAACTATGACTTAACTAGTTATATGGTGGAAACGTTTTGGCACTGACGCTTCCGAGTTGAGGATGATGGCAATGAGAATTTTGAGCTTAACAACTAGCTCTTCGGCATGTGAGAGGAATTGGAGCACCTTCGAGATGGTAATGGCTCTTTTTAACTTTAAATCATATTGGATCACATTTGAAACTAATTTTTCCTTCTTTGTGATTCTAATTTGTAGATTCATACAAAAAAGAGAAATAGACTAACGTATTGGAAATTACATGATTTGGTCTACGTCAAGTTCAATGCAAGGTCGAAGAATAAGCATTCCAACAAGGATAGAGATTCTTTAATTGCCTTTGATGATGAAGAAAGGTCCTCCGAGTGGTTGATGACTACAAAGAAGAGAGGAGGTCATCATGATGAGAGCAATGATGAAGTGTTTGCGGGGGAATCTCTTATTTGGAGGCAATATGGAGATCTCATTGGAGCTAATCCTAAAAAGAGGAAGAGTGTTAGAACAAAACAATATAAAAGAAATAAAAAGTTCGGGGAATCTTCATCAAAGGGAAATGAGCCTTTGGAAGATGAGGAGAAAGACATGGAATCTTCGGAGTCTGATTCAGATGAGGGAATGGATAATATTCCAACGTTCATCTCCGATGAAGATTAATTTAGTTATCTTTGCTTTTGCAGCTTTGCTTTCTTTTGGATTTGCTATTTAAATGTTTAGAATTATGAACTATTTGTTACTTCTTTTGGAACTTGGTTGATTGTTGATTAGTTTTTGTTTGTTTATGGATATTAATATAGCTCATAACCACTAAATATCAACTTAGTTAGTTTATGAATCTCATAATTACACAATACTTATGTAGATGCCTAGATGGTTCTTTATTCTTGATGTTATCTTATTATTTGCTTGTTTATTATTCCATTTTGACTAACAGTATATTTTTTTCAAGGCTATGCAATTGAATGGTTTCATCGTGCGATCGAGATGCAAGTTTTGCTTTCAACAATTGGTTAGTGATTCTAAACATGATTATTTATATTTTGGTATGTTTATATTTCATTAAGCATGGTTAGATTATATTTTTTAGTTATTATATTATATATACACCATCCACTATATCACTCCGATAAATACTAGTTATCCCCGATATAACCCCGATTTTCGCTATCCGATAAGGATTTTGACCGTCCGATAAATCCCCGATAACCGATATTTAAAACCTTGGTTGTAGGTATATTAAAACATACCGATCATATGTAAAAAAAATATCAAGCAATTTAATAATAAAATGCTATTATGTAATTTGGAAATAATTCTATTTACAAATTGCAAACTATGTTTTATGATTAAAATGAGTAACTAATTTGCCTTTGATTTTAAAAATCTAGATACTTGGAATAATTAAAGGAAGGTCAATAGTTCAAAATTAACATACGGCGTTAACAAGAATATGGTGCAAAGTTAAATGTCAAAATGAAATTAGTTAGTTATTTGAGCTCAAAGAATTAAAGAACAAAATAATATTTACTTCATTTGACATTAAAATCTACTATATGCTTTTACTCAATGCCTAATAAACTCAAAATTATTAACAAACTTCCATAAATTGCATGTGCATTATAAAACAATTTTTGTACAAACTAAAGTTAGATCCTCAAAAATAGATAAATCATTCTCCCTTTAAAGTAGGAGTTTAGATAAAACTTTCTACGATCAATTTTACTCCTAACGATTTTAATGTTACATTATATTTCAATTAAATTAAATTAAATTATTAGTAAACTATAAATTAAATTCTTTCTCCACACCTCATCCAAATAGCCGTGCCTGTATCCCTCTGCTTTATCTCCCCACTAAAAGCAAAAAATAGTTGAAGTGAAGAAAACAGGGCATTGGCGACGGGGAAATCCGTCACCAATACCCCAAAATCCATCACCAATACATATTAGTGACGGAAATGGATCCGTAGCTAATAAATCTGTCGCCAATAAGTATTGGCGACGGGTTTCCCCGTTGCCAATACTTATTAGCGACGGATGACTATTGGCGACGAATTTCTTTGGCGACGGGTTGTTCCCATCGCCAATGTGCATTGGCGACAGGAAAATCCGTCGCTAATGTTTAAACATTAGCGACGGATTTCCTCCGTCGCCAATGTTTTAAACATTAGCGACGAATTTCCCCGTCGCCAATGCACATTGGCGATGGGTATATCCGTCGCTAATGTTTAAAACATTGTCGACGAGGATTTACCCGTCACCAATGTTTTAAACATTAGCGATGGATCACCTTGTCGCCAATGTGCATTAGCGACGAGGAAATCCGTCGCTAATGTATATATTTACGTAAAAAAAATTACTTTTCTAGTAGCCTCATATACGAGAATACACATATAGCATGTATCGACATCAATCCAATGACAATATTTAACAATATATCATAAAATCAACCATGATATACATTCACATTCCAAATAAATACTCATCCAATTTCATCCGTCAATCCACAATATTGAACAATACTCATCATATAATCACAATACATCTCGCATGCTCAAATAATATTCATTCACTACACAATAAAATCACAAACATATTACATATATGTAAAATTCAAAAGTCATAATATGTCTTAACACAAGTCTCACTCACTCCTCGTCATCGTTGTTGTCGACATCCCTGTTATCAGCGTCGTCTACATTAGAACGTCGTATCATATGCTGCTCCCTACGGGAGTACCTCCTCTAACCTGAAAAGATTATCACTCCACATAAGATATATATATACCAAAAATATCATAATAAATACATATATGTCACATCATATATACCTCTCCACCACCATGAACTTCATTCTCGTCAAACGCCAACTTAAAGATAGCTAAGTATATCGACTCGGGAAGAATCTCCTTCAACGACGGACAAGTATCACATGAATCCTCAATTTGGGCAATTACAATGAGGTCATTTTATTACCAGTACAAATACATGAATCGTGTTCAACAAGTAAGCAACTCATCATGAACTCCCCAATCAAATACAGTAATCAAAGAAGACCCTGCTTCCCCATGAAAAGAAGCACGCAACCTCAACCTTACTCCAAGGATGAAGAAGCAGGAGGTTCAATATGTATTAAATGAGAGCTCATTCAGTTGGAGTCAACCCAACAACACATGCACATTTCAAGCAAGCAATACATTAAATGACAATAGGCAGCTTACCTAAAATAATTAACATAAATAAAATGATGTAAAGTCCTCAACAAAAACTGTTAACATTATAGTTGTAGAAGATTTAACATGAGAATTCTTATTTTATTTCCCATATGACGCTCTGTAAACACGCACGTCCCTTGGCAAAACTCGCACATTCGGAAGACCAAATAAACGATATTTGATACAAACATAACAAATGGGTAATGTATAAATATGAATACTCAATCAAACCACTTTTGAGATTTTTTTCCCCTAAGACTTCATGTCTTGTTCAAAATCATAATTTTGAATCGTCAAAGGCCTGAATAATATTCAGATTAAACATTTACCAATAGATCCTTTATGCTTTAACAAAGAGTAATTAATCTTTGAATTATGAATAAGACTTCATGAGGAATTTTCAAGCTTGCTGAAAAATGATAAAAATTGGGGAAACTAGTGCAATACTACAAACTTACAAAGGATTACGGTCAAATATAACATCTTTAATGGTAATGTTAGAAAGAGATGGAGAAAGGCAACCAAAAAATAATGTTTATTTCAGTGCTCTTTGGAAAGGGAAAACAAAATATTTGCTCACCGCAAGCTAATCTTCCCCCTGCATTCCCAGTGTTGAGGCTGAGTTCATGTCCTCCTGTAAAGTCGGATAAACATGATATGTAAGCCACACCCAAATGATTCAAATAATAGATGGATGAATAATAAACTCACAAGATGGAATCCATGAAGTCCTGGTGTAAGTCCAGTGACACGAACTTTTACTGTTGTTGGACCTGATAAAAGAGAGAAGTACTTGAGAATCAGAGATATACACTCAGGACATTTCGTAGATCATTTATGGAAGAAGGAAGAGTCAAAACTTGTTCATCCGCAATAAAACTTTTTCTTGCTGCTCACTAGCATTGCCGCATCAATGTCGTGTCCCGAAAAAATCATCCACTACTTGTATATCCCCACTGTGGCATATATATCAGTTTAATGATTCATACACTGCTATGCTATTTGTCTCCTACTTGGCTAACCTAACCCCCAAACTGATCTTAATACAATGAACAAAATGATATTTCAGGGTCATATTAGTTACTAAGTAGGGGACGAAAAAAGGTGTATGATAAGTAGACCACACACTATTATTCGTGTCCTTTCTCGTGAACTTCTATCGTAAAATATGAATCTTTAACCCCCAATCCCCAGCATTCGATAGCTACACTACCTCAATCAGGGCAGATGCAATCAAATACGGATCAAAATCAAAACTTTAACGAAAAGAATGAGCTAGAACGAAAAGAAGAAACAAACCATCATCCTCCTGAAGGAGGTTGACCACGCCCTCGACCTGGGAGTTTCCCTTGAGCACAGCCACAGACTTCTTCGCGGCGGCGGCGACCACGGCCAGGCACGAATGCACAAGTACCTGGACTATGCTTGCTACAACAAGTCATCGTTGATGAGGAAGGGGTGATCATCACTGATGAGGAGGGGGGACAGTCGCGGTGGTGTTGAGGAGATCGAGGGCGTCGGAGACAGAGACCACGACGTTGGCGAAGTTCGACGAATAC